GAACTTCACCAATTGTTCTGTAAGTTTAATCTTATTTTATCTAGGTCCGGTTCATAGTCCAAGAGACACTAGATTCGACACATTATGCTCATTTGTGAAACCCAGCAAATTATTTTATTATTTATTATTTTTTTAATACTTTTTTTGAGATATGTGGGGATTGATAGAAAAATATTTTTAATATCTCAAAAAGAAACATTCCAAAACTATGTCTAGATTCATTTTCACACCATTGTATTAATTGGTCATTATTATAATAATAATTTTAATGTATTTGTAACACTAATTTATTTAGTTTGAATTCATTTGAATGGAAATCTGACAATTAAGTGATAGTAGTTATTATACGTTATTTGTTAACGGTTTTATCAAATTATCTCATGGGTTACTTTTGTAACAGATTTTGAAATCTGACAGTTAATGATAGCTGTTATACGTTATGGCCTATTACATTGTCTTTATGATTATTTTGTAACAAAAAAGTTTTCAATGTATTGCTTTGATTGTTAACGTATTTTTTTTCATCAGATTGTGAAGTTTTGGACTATATATTTTGCTGTTTTTCATCTTTTGAGAATAGTGAAAATAACAAAGCTAAAAACTCTTTTTCCCTTTTCTTTGTGCTGGGTTTTCTTTTCGTTAAACTTTGTTGTTTCTGTTCCTAGTTATACTAGAAGAGCTTGTTGAATCCTGGGGGATATGCCTAATATTATTTATCACGGTGTGGGTGAAATATTCTTAAGGACGGTGTCATTGACACACCTCAAGCTAAACCTTTTATTCTCCATAATCATCCAATTTTTTTCAACACATATTAGGCATATTTTTAGCCAAATATTAGTGGTGCTCTTTTCTTTGTTACTACTTAGGGTTTTTTTTCTTCTTTGTTTTCTTCTTAATTGCAAAACAAATTTGTTAAACTTATTGTTGTTTTGACAAATTGATGATTGGGGTTTGTTCTTTATGATATTTGGAGGTTATATTTCAAATTTGAGCTCGCTTAGAGTAGATTTAGGTATTGAATCGTGTGTTAGATTATTGAAATTCGAAGAAGTTTCTATTCCCGGGCAATTTCCACTTTAGCCCTATTTGGCCTCAGGTGTACGAAGACATTGGTTGAATTTCAGGCCTACTTGGCCTTGAGTGCATCTTAAGTGTAATTTTTGCACTTTACACTTAATTGGCCTTGAGTGCGTTGTACTTCAGAATAAAAAAAATTCTTCAAATGCAGACCTGATAAGTCCGAAGTTGATCTTAGAGTGAGTAAACTTGCAAATTTTTATGCAAAGTGGATGTAATTTCAATAGTGACCCAAAAACTGAGTATAGATGCAAATGCCAAGAGAAATGGCACAACACGGTTATTCAATGGGCTAACTATGTCGTTAAGTGTTGAGCAATCTTCATTTGTAGCCAGCCGCTAGAAACTAACATCAGCTGCTAGCCACAAAATTGTAGTATGTATTTTATAGCCCAAAGTTAATTAAAAGGCTAGCCCAAGACCACTGCCACTCTTCCCCCTCTCTAGGGCATCCTCCTCTGCTCTCTCCGCCGCTGTCAGAATTCAAATTACACCATCCCTTCATCCTCAGCCAACACCAGAACCACCACCTCCTCAAAACCCTAAGCATTTGAACACAATGTTGACGGCGGATTAACGGAATTTTGCCCGGGAGATGACGCAATGAAGAAATTTGTTCCGAAATTTAAGAAATTGACGCCGGAAGGGAAGCAATCTTTGCTTGAGTATCACGGAGTTTCGGTGTATCAATCAATGGATAGCTTGAAATCCAACAACGGCGTAATGAACACGTTAGCAACATGGAGAAATATTGAAGAAGCTGCAGAGAATATTAAAACACTGAAAAATTGTACCTTTTGATGAACTAATGGTCACTGAAATGGCAGTGAACGCGTGTCATCTTTTTCTTGAATTCTCTCTTCTTTTGTTCCACTCTCTGTATAGCAGCTGCACATTACACTCACCATACAAATATAACATTCTCAAAACTCTTGGACCTAGGTTTGTTTTATTTGATTTTTCCTGTACATGTATATCATCTCGTATATTTGCAAGTTCATATTTTTACAAGATTTTAAATGGGGTTTTACAGCAGATCAGGAAAAATCAAATAAAATATATTGGTATTATTACAAAATATATATATACACAAAATAGACTATCACTATACAAAAATTATACAAAATAGACTATCACTATACAAAAATTATACAAAATAGACTATCATTATACAATTTATATACAGTAGACAATATATATACAAAAATAGACTGTCATTATATAGAAAATATACTAAATAGACTGTCATTATATGAAACATATACAAAATAAACTGTCACTATACAAAAATATACAGAATAGACTGTCACTATATAATTTATATACAATAGGCTGTCACTATACAAAATATATATAAAATAGATTGTCATTATACAAAATATATACTAAATAGACTATTACTATACAATAAAATATATAAAATATAATGTCGCTATACAAAATAGACTGTCACTATACAACAAATATACAAAATAGACTGTCCCTATGCAAAAACTATACAAAATAGATATTTCGGGTTATTTGATGTAATATGTTTGGGCCGGAGGGCTATTTTCTGTCAATGGGAAAAAATATGGGCTATTAAAATTTGGAATTTTTACATTCTTATACACTATATGAAACTATATTACTTTTCCTACTCAAGTTTTACTATAATTACATTTTATATACCCCGATTACCATTTATGTACATTCTAAGAGAATTAATGATAATAATTAGTGTCCTAAAATTACTCTAATATATCTTCCACTCCCCACGTTTCTCTTTCCACATCCTCCCCCCCCCCCCNAGAGCAGCAATTCCACCATTGACAACCATTAAAAAGTTTTGAAGCTTTGAATTCGAATTTGGGTTTTCAAAAAATATTGTTTGTTTGGATTTGATGTTGTTGCAAAGAATTGAGAATTCTCTCTACGTCTCTCTCTATCTCTCAATCCCAAATTTCAGTAATGTAAAGCAAAGGAAAAGAGAACAGCAATTCTACCATTCACAACTATTAAAAAGCTTTGAATTCGAATTTGGGTTCTTAAAAATCATTATTTGTTTGGATTGGGTGTTGTTGCAAATAATTGGGAATATAGTTTGGAGTTTATATCTCAATTTTGAGGGATTTTCGTGAAGATTAGACTTGGTTTTAGCTTAATTTCAAATTGAAACTCGAAGAAGAAGAAGAAGAAGAAGAAGAAGAAGAAGAAGAAGAAGAAGAAGAAGAAGAAGAAGAAGAAGAAGAAGAAGAAGAAGAAGAATTTTCAGGGGTTTTGGTGAAGATTAGACCTGGCTTTGGCTTAATTTCAAATTGAAACTCGAAGGCATGACATACATTATACTGCAGAATTGTAGAAAAATTATAGAAAAATTATATTCTGTTGTTATATATTTTTCTTTTATTTATTTAACTATTGTATGAAAGTTGAACAACATTGTATAGAAACTATATTTAAGTTGTATGATATTATAGTTGTATATAACTGAGTAAAAATAATGTATGAAAATTATAGATAAGTTGTATAGTATATAATTAGTTGTATGAAATTTATTTTTACTATATATAAATCAGATACAAAATATACAAAAGACATAGTATATAAAATTTGTATTTAAGTTGTATGTTATTGTAATTGTATTTAAATGGCTGAAAATAATGTGTGAAAGTTATAGATAAGTTGTAGATATATTGTATAATATATAATTAGTTGTATGAAATTTATTTTTACTATGTATAAATAAGATACAAAATATACAAAAGACATATTATATAAAAATTATATCTAAGTGATATTATATTGTAGTTGTATATAACTAGGAGGTGAGAGAGGCTTTGGCAAAGGTGTCTTCGTCGCGTGTTATCAGGAATGAAGAATAATACCACTGGTTCCTATAGAGTTGGCAAACGTTAAAATTCCAGCTTTAGGAATCCCTGCGACTTTCTCACGCCTTTGAACGCAACAGGTGAACTAGTTGCCCGTACCCAAAAAAATTTTAATCAAAATGCAGACAAAATTGGCTCTTTGTCCTCCATATCTACTCCAGATTTAAAGTAAAAAATATATATTAAAGTTTTGTTTTATTAATTAATGTTTTGATTGTACCAATCTCAAACCAACTTAAGAAGCGTAGGAGCTTAATATAAATTAAATTTTGGACTAACTAATTAAAGATTTAATTTTTTATGCTACTGCATCATTGTTTTATTGTGAATAACCACTCTAGCCTGAAAGTAACGCCTATTATCATTAACTGTTTGTTTGAAAAAGAGTTAGTGTGCCAAGATAGAGTTTAAAATAATTGTTGATGGGTATCTTGTCCATTTTTTAGTGGATTGTTGCTAAAAAGAGTGGCAATTATTTGCTTTCTGTTTGGTATTGTATGGAAGTATCTGACTTTTAATTTGTATTGTAGGAATTCGAGAAAATGAAGGAGAAAGACAGAATCTCGAGAGAAGAGAGGAGAGAGGAGGGAAAAAAAAGGAAAAGGGTGTAACTAAATCCCTTAATTGAAGGCACTAAAATTGGATTGGGAGCCTTTTAAGGTGGAAAGTATATATTTTGTAAACAAAACTTGTGTAGGTAGGGTAATTTAGTAAACATGAACATTTAGGGTAATAAAGTTTCCAATAGTGTATAAGAATGAAAAAATCCCTTAAAATTTTGAGGGGCTATAGAGGGTAGTTTTCTCTTCTCTAAGTCTTAGGTGTTTGGTTTCCACTTTATTGCCTAATTGACCATGTATTCAAATGGAAGACAGGAGTTGCATTTTAACCATTCAGTTCGAGTTAATTCAAGGTTATGTTATTTGTTGTTTAGGTGAAGACCAACCAATCAACTTTTAATTTAGGCACTAGTTCATCTTCATTTACATAATTTCAGTCAGAAGAATGGATTTCAACATCAAAAGATCCACAACATCCTGCATACATATGTACTGGAGAGCCAAGCAATTATAATGTTTGTTTATTAACCAGGGACTTGCTATCGGTGCTTCTTCATCCTTTTCGCTAAAGGTCTATCCGAAACAATCTCTCTACACGTCCAGGGTAGGGGTAAGGCTGCGTATATACTGCCCTCCCCAGACCCCACTTGTGGAATTACACTGGGTTGTTGTTTATTAACCAGGGAGGAGTTTCAATGGAACATGCCACAAACTATGCTGTTGACTAAGTTATACAAGAAGAATAGTATATCATAATGGCCAAAAAAAGTTGGAATTTCACCAATGTTGGCACCTCTTTCTTTCTTCAGTTCAACAGTTTGAGATGTATGGACATACATTTCAAGAAACAGTGAGTTTTCCGCAATCGTAGTTAGCCATTCTGAGTGTAACTGCTATAGTGACTCCAGCCAAAAAGCGTTCTCTTAAGAAACTGATTACCTTGCTACCACTCTCTTGTATAAAACCAGATAAATAAGCAGCACTGATGAATGTAAAACTCCTCCATCTCCTCCCTTTAGCATACTTTTCAAGTCCTTTTTTGATCTTTATAAATTCCTCCTCGTCCTCGTCCTCATCTTCTTGTTCAACTCCTCTATCTGTTATCGGTTTCACCAAAGCTTCTCTGAGGCATTTTGCAATAACAACACTGTCTTCTAAGGCAGAACATCCACCTTGACCAAGGTCTGGAGTCATGGGATGAAGTGCATCACCTACTACGCAAATGTTATTCTTCAAAATATTCCCCAGCAAAACATTCCACGGCAATCTCAATTTCAGCTGAGCGCAAGATATACAGTCTAGCGTTGTTCTCTCTACAACGGCGAAGAGTTCTTTAGACACATTACTGGCCTTGTTCAACACAAATTGCTTCAGTTTAAGTGAATCTTGTTCTGCATTTCCATCAACTGCAGTCCAATTAAAAGGGAACAATTAAACATGTTTAGATTGATATTCTGTAATGAGAAACACAAGTTCTTAACATCACCAAATTAGAATAATCTGTTTGCAAAATAACAGTATGTATGAGCTTTGCTCACAATGGATAGCAGATGGTGTGAATGTGCAAAACTAATACAAACTCTTCTCATCACTAGGAAGAAAGCCAAACCGAAGTCCACCTCCAAAAAATGCATGGAACTTAGGCTGATAACCATGTTTGTCCGGATACTCAACGAACCCTCTAATTGCAGATCTCCCAGAATAAACAGGTTTCTGAAGCCCAAGCCAGTTTGCCACCACAGAATTGACTCCATCACACCCAATTAAGGCCTTAATTGAAGATTGTCATAGTTAGTCATATCAGACTACAATAAGGAATTTTATATTTGAAGCTTCAATACGTATAAGGATTCCAAGGTTGAAGAAAAAGCGATCTTGGACCATAAGTGAAAGATTCCACAGAAAGATATACCTTAGCTCTAATAGTGGAACCATCTGCAAGATGTACCACTTTCATTGGTCCAGATTCTTCAATGGAAACAACCTTGGAAGAATATCTAATAGCGCCTTGAGGCAGTTCATTCGCTAATTTCTCCAACAGATCTTTCCTTCTCACGCAACGGCTTTCATAATCTATACTGAAACATGATATAGCTCGCCTTAGATGACTTTCTACTGACTTCAAAAACAGAAATTTTGGCAGAGGAATCAGTCCATCCGGTAGTTGAAGGAAGGCATACTCAACTCAACAAACAGATCTAAGAAACACATTGTCAGCCAAGAGAAACATTGTTCAAAGATGAACTTTCTTTTTCGTAATCATAGGGATTAGGACAATGAACCAAATCACTTCACCAATGAACAATCAGACAATTGGTATGCAGCATCCCCTGAATACGCGATGGTGCAGTGCATCCTATTCATACTTAAGACCTTTGTGACATATGTGATTGTTCTGTCCAAAGATGTCGTGAGATCGTCAAGGCTTATATGATAGTACACGGAGATTAAATACATTAGTTTTTCTTGTTATACTTACGTTACTTCGGTGTTTTTGAGTTAATTTTTATCATAGTTAGAGATTTGTATGTCTATGTAGATTGTGATACTATTTTAGAGGATTCCTAATTTGTCTTAAAACCTAGATTATCTAGTGTTAGAACAAAATGTACCTAAATAGAGGTGACGCATAAAAAGATTAATATAACCGACCCCAACTAATATGAGATTGATGTATAGTTGATCGATTGATTGAACAACTATACAAATAAATTAATCAGTTAAGCATTGAATATTTACCAGTTATCATCCACAAATGATACCTCCTTGATAGGTGCTCCTGAATCCGCAGAGAAACTTTTAATCCTGCAGCAATAGTTGATACTTGATAAAGAGTAAAACACAAGAAATCCCATGCAATTTGGACAATCAAATACTAGTGTAGTTAGTTGTGTGAATACAGCTTCGAGGGACTGATCGAGGATGGGCTTTTACTAATTGAGGAGAGCACTTATGTGATTGTACCTTGATCTAAAGGAATGCATTTTGCTATAGGATAAGATATGGTTAGAGTGTTTATGTGATTGTACAGAAGCGACGACAACAAACAACAACAATAATAATGAGGACTGGAAGAGCGACTAACAAGATCAGCAAATAAAGCCATTGCTCATTTTTGGTTTAGAAATGTTCTAAAACCAAACCAACCAAATCAGTTTAGCGTTTAACCCCTAAACAATGGGTTTTCGGTTTTGCAACATCAGCTTTGATTATGTGTTTGGTTTCTGATATCTGGAAATTTAATTTTGGCCTCCCTGTTTTCTATATGTTTAATTTTCCACATTTCAAAAACAATTATTTTTCTCTTTATCAGCTGTTTGAAATTACTGCTGGACAACCTCCCCCCCAACCCAATTCAATATATATTGATATAGAGACAATTTCTTTTGCTTTTCAGCTATCCGGAAAATAAATTTATTACTGAACTAAATAAAGGTGTTTAGTTGATTTTCCTGCTAATTTTAACCATATGAAATCGCTATAAAGTTAGGATTTCAGTGATATTTTTCCAAAAGGTTTTGACTGAAGTTTAAAAGACGAGACTTTCCCAAATCAGTTCTTCTATGACTAACTCCAATCAGGTATAATTGTTTTCTTCTGAGACCAACCTAAATTAATTTTTCCAACAACCAATTTAGAAACTGATCCGTATGCTATCGGATTATGTTGAATTCAATCAGATATCTCATAAGATTGAAATATAAGGGGAAACTCTTACCCAGTAATGGATAAGGAACTTTGTCTAAGAGAGTCTCCAATTCCCAGTGCATCCAAAGCTCTCCAGGCGTTAGTCCATAATGCCAGAGCAAATCCAGTCGCTCGCAACGAATCTGCTGATTCCAAGACAATACTCTGCAGCCCCACCCTACAAAACAAAGCATTTATGCAATTCGTCAAACATATTTGTGTAGACACAAACGACATTTGTAGAAAATGTTTTTGTGTACCAAGGTTTTTGATGGAATCCCACGTCGAAAATGGATGGGTTCCTTGGACTCTTTAAATGGCTTGGCCAGTCCTCACCCTTTCAGTGATGATGGAATCCCTCACCGACACCGGAGATGGATGGGTTCCTTGGACTCCTTATATAGCTCGGGCAATTCTCACCCTTTAAGCTAGCTTTTGGGATTGAGTTATGCCCGATTCTTATCAGGTTTCTCCGCCACTATATAGACACAACACTAACTCTCAACTCAACAAACATATGCAGTATAATACATGACACATTTTGCTACTGGTGAATTAAGTTTTTGAAGGTAGTGAATACACCTCTCAATATATACACAAACTTTTAAATTTGTCTAAGCCCCTTTTACATAACTCGTAGCTTATATGCCAGATCTGTGGTCGTCAAACAAGTACAGCTCCCAAAACTCAACATACTTATGCAGTAATATCTATGATAAGTTTTGCTAGAGTATATTCTTTCTTACCTGTGAAGTGCCAAACAAGTAGCAAAACCAGCTATGCCAGTACCCACAATTACAATGTTCTCTTCTCTCTCCATTTTTTTTTACTGAAGCTCTTCTTCCACTCTATGCTTTTGCTTCTTCCCAACTAGGAACTGTCCTCAAACTGAGTTTGTCTCCTTCATTAAAGGAAAGGGAAATCTGATCTTAATATAAGGCTATAAGCTTTAGGCAATCATTAAAATGGTCCCAAGAAGATGAAATGACATAGGCACATACTTCAGCAATTGAATTATAATAGTAATATTATAATTCCGACACCATGAATAATCTTCTGAGGTTCTTGGAGCCTAAGTAACGAGCCATGTTCTCCCAGATTAAAATAGTTTTCTGAAATTAAAAATCATTTCTTTTGGTTAAAAAAAAAAAAAAAAAAAAAAAAAAAAAAAATGTTTTCTGAAAGCAAAACATTACTTTCTCAAAAGATAGATGGGTTATTTTTGTCGTTTTAAATAAACTAAAGCTAAGCTAAACTTTCTTCTACGTTGACCCACAACCTTATAAAAATTTGTATCATTTTGACTCTTCTTTATAGGTTACTTTTTCTCTCATTATCATGTTCAAACTTTTTCTATAGCTCCCTTTTATCCTATGCTAGTTATTAAAATTTACAATTACATTGTACTTCTTAGTACTGTGTTTATATTAGTTCTTCAAAACAAAAAACAAAACACGCTTGATATCATGCAGGTTGTTTCGGAATAATTTTATAATGTCATATGATGTAACTGAAATTAATAACGTGAACTGCTGATAGATAATTATGCAAAGTAAAAGGTTGCCTGATACAATTTTTGTTTAGAAAAATATCAATCCACACACAACTGTATTCTAATCACTTTTTACATGGATGGGACATTTTGTTAAACACCAGACTAATCTCAATTGCCATGCAACAAAATTGAGAAGATAATAAAAGCTGATGGCTGTAAGAAGCAGATACAGTAAACAGGGTATTATTGGCAGTCCTTGGGAATGAAGTCAACACTGAATACCTGACAAACATATAAAAGAATGTGCTGCTCGCTATTGAAATTACACTTGATCAAACACCTAACCTACTTGAAAAAACATGAAAGATCTTAAGGAAAACAAAAATGCTCACCACAAGGAGGGTGGTACTGAGTTCTAATGCTAGTCTACACTGATTACATTATCAAAATAACCTAAAGTTAATACGAACAAATGAAAGAAAAACGTTGAAAAAAAAGGAGCAGGCACTCATAGAACATAATCTCTGTGTTGCTTCCAAGTTTGACCAACTAAGCAGCAACATGGATTGGTGGCCCATTAGGTCTGAATCCACGTCCCCTGCCACGAGGTCCCCTGCCACGTCCACGGCCTACAGCAAAATAAACCCTTAGGAAGAGGAAGCATGGGATCAATAAATTACAGCAATAACTACTAGTTAACCTTCCACTTGTTAGAGTAGCATTTTCTTATGTCCACTCACAATTTCTTACACTACTTCAGTAATAATGAATTTTAAAACTCATCATGCACGAGGCACAGTTACGCTAGTGGTAAAGCTCCTCTAGTGGGAAATCACTGTTAACCCCTGTGCGGAGGGGGTGGNCCCGTTAGGACCGCGGGCCCGGTCCGGTCCGGTTCAGGCCCGGCCCACCGAGCAGCATTAGTGTAAAATATAATTATCATCTCTTCTGTCCATTCTATACCATTTTGCTCTGAGCAACACTCTCTATAACTGGAAGCTTATTGCACTTAACACAACTCCATTAGAGGGCAAAACCAAACAAGCTGGGGAAATTTATAAACATGAACACAAAGGTTGTTAAATTTTAAAAAGGGAAGAGTGAACCAGCATTAGAAATGTCTTAGAGGAGTTATTTTAATTACTCAGAGGAACATACAACTATGCAAAGGCATCGACACCTTACCTCGGCCCTGAACAGGTGCTTCTTGGATGTAGCCACCAGCATCTTGCTGAGTGTCCAGAGCACCACCATACCCTCCTCTTCCACGCCCACGGAAGTTCCGACCCCTGCCTCGACCCCTGCCCCTGCCGTAGCTCCGATTCCGA